AAAAAGTGTGGAAAGGGAGTGCAAAGATTTCTTTTAGTTTTAAATATATCAACCCAAGTAGAACATTTATTTCTATCATATTAAAAGGGTACCCACTGGAACTTGGAAATACATACAGGTTGATCATGGACAGTGAGGAGGGTGGTCCCATTTTTTCACTTAGATTGCAGACCTTGGAATATAGTTGCATGAAAACACTTCCACATTTATTCCTTCCCCATTTTATTGCTATTACTTCCCCCCCCCCATTTAAATTTTATAAGCCATTTCTACACAGATAATTGCGATAGCTCAGGAAATCAAGCAGCTTTTTAATTTTTCCCTCCAAGAGAAAGGATATTCTTTAGAGATTACATTTTGTAATCAGAAATGGAGGGGAGAACCCAGCAAGGTTGTCTTGTTGAAATTATATGTAGGCAGCATGAAAATCCATGGCCAGTCTGTCACTCTTAAAAACCAAATTACCTACCAAAGCAATAAGAATTAGGAAAGATTAAATATACTCTTTAAAAATCCACTTTTGATTTTTTTCTGCCAACATTAAGAATTCCTTTTGGAAATATAATAACTATTGAGACAAAATTCAGTAAAGCTATTTATAGTCCAGGGGAAATAGTATTTTGTGTTGAGGAGGTGAGTTACACAGCAGGTTATGTCAGCACAGGCAGGTGAGATTCAACATTCTTTACTTCTCCTTTTTCTCCCTTTATGAGACGTCCCTGGTTTTCTGCACTTAGTTTTACTAAGCTTCACTTTGCTTCACCAGCTGACTAGGGTCTGGGCAGGCAGCACATATGTGATGTCCTGAAAACACACTGCCCTATATAAACAATTGTTTTTGGCAATTCGGAGGTTTCGTGGCAGGATTGCATCTTTTCCCTCCTCAAAATGAAATGTTTAGGCCAAAATTAGAACTACATGTGCAGTTTTATGAACTGGCATATTCAAACATTACAATTGTGTGTTTAAAAGGGGAATTTGATCTTTTTTTCTTTCTTCTTTGGAACTCCTTCTTTTCCTAGTTCCTTTGTTTTCTCTTTTACAGAACATTTTCATATCTTAGTATATCTATTCAGCATCTGTTTCTCCTCAATAACAATTCTCATTCAAAAATAATAACTCTTTGTCCTCTTTGGACATGTTTTGTTTTGCCCCCACCTATGAAGTTCACCAGCATGTGTTGAAGGTTAACAGCTCCATTTCTGGAATTCTCTTGGATCCGTTTTGGAGCAAAGTGCCAAAGTATATAAGGAGGGCTCAAATGTATCCGGACTCTGCCAAGTCCTGTGAGGAAGGCTCCACAGAGCTGCACCTTTGCCAGCTCCCTTCTGTTCTCACTGGGCCTGGCTTCTTCATGATTCCACACACGACCTTTTATCATTTGCTCATACGGAAAAAGAACCTTTGGATGAATAGAAGCAACAGAATCGTTATTTATGCAACAACACTCTAACTTGTCCATTAACAGGTAGAAAATTGTTTCTGACCTTACTGAGTTTTCTACTCTTGTACTTTCCATCCCACAGCACCCAGGGTCATGAATGGTTCCATTGATCATTTTCTAATGGTCCCATCAATCAATTGTCAACAATGACCAAAGTTGCTCAAAGAGCTTTTCCCACAATTACTGTTAATAGTAGAAAGAGTAGAGTAGGTGTATGACAAAGGCCCTGCTGGAAATGGTAGAAGGGACTCTTTTACAGTGTTTTGCCTGAGGGGCATTGGGTCACAGGGTCACTCCATGAACATCCTGCCTATCCTACTAGATGTGTTATTAGGCTGTTTGCTTCAGTTGTAACTTTCTGGTGCAAGAGGCAGTAACTCAACCCAAAGTGGTTCAAGCAGAAAGAGATTTTAGTGGCTTGTATAAATGAAAAGCTCAGAGTTGCAGCTGTCTTCTTATGTAGCTAAAATGTGGGGCTCAGGTGATATGATAAGGCCACTGATTTCTCTCATTTTATAAATCTTTTAGTGTTGGCTCATTCATAGGCAAGCTCTCCTTTCAGACTTACAATCTGGCTACAGAAGCTTCAGAACTTATATCTTCTCTGTTTCACATCCATAAGGAATCACTGCAGGCCGACATTTGATAATAGAAGGGTCAGCCTCATAAAACTGGATCACCAGTGGCTCTGGAAAGAGGAACACTGCTGGAGATCTGACACTCCTGGAGATTAACTAACCCTGGAGCCATCCTACCTCAGGACTTGTGATTGGAAACAATAACTTATTCCTACTGATTAAACTATTTTATGTTAAGTTTTCTTGTTATAAGGGAAATTATCTTTTTTAAAAATATATATTTTTATTGATTTCAGAGAGGAAGGAAGAGGGAGAGAGAGAGATAGAAATATCAATGAGAGAGAATCATTGATCGGCTGCCTCCTGCACGACCCCAGGACCGAGCCCACAAGCTGGGCATGTGCCCTTGACTGGAATAGAACCTGGGACCCTTCAGTCCGCAGGCCAATGCTCTATCCACTGTGCCAAACCAGCTAGGGCGGGAAATTATCTTTTTTACTCTTTCATATTTTAGCCTACATTTTCTTCTAGTTCCATTGTTTCTCTTATTTGGTTCATTCAGCAGAAAGCATCCTAACTGATAATTGTCATACTGGCTCTAATTGGGTCATAGATGCATCACTGACCATACATAATGGGAATGTGATGTGTGATTGGCCTCAGCCTCAATGCCCCAGTCCACATCCGACTACATGGACTGAGTGGATGTGTGATTGGCCTCAGCCTCAATGCCCCAGTCCACTTCTGCAGTGGGATGAGTTTGGAGAAAGGGGAAGAATATCTACTGGGAAATGAGGATATGGTTTCCATTAAATAGTGAAATAGATACTGTGAAGGAAAAACATCATGTGTCCAGTACTTTATCCTTTTGAATGTGCCTTTTATTACAGAGTGGCCTGAAATTGTCAGAATAGTAAATTAAGGAGTTGTGATTTGTTACTTGGTCTGGTAGCCCAGAATATATAACTTTGAAGGTTTTAAATCAAAGGCAGAGCTGCTATGCTATTGAATCATCTCGTTAGCCTATGAATCAATATGTTTCCTCAATTAGGGTCTCATATCTCCAGCTTTGGAACATCAGCCATTTCAAGGAAAGTGGCTCATGGCCAAGATGGACAAAGGCTGGGTTGCTTAACAATCTAGTACTCTCAAAGGATATTGGGAAACCCAGGCAGCTTTTAAGTGGCATGTGCCATCCCACAGGCCCGGTGTTTTTTTCTGGCCCCTTTCCTCATACCCCTGAAATTCATTTGGTCTCATGGCTCTCAGACTCAGCTGGTATGTAGAACAGTGGGGTCTCAGGTCAGGTTGTGTCTAGTGATTTCAGTTGTGCTGTTGGCTGGAATTCCATCTGTCAAGTAGGTTTTACAGTCAGCCATTCGATAGCAGTAGGGTTAGCCCATGAAACTGGACTTCCTGCATATCTGGAAACAGGAGCACCCCTGGAGATCTGACATGCTCTGAGAAAATTAGGAGTTAGTTTTAGCTATTTCTGGTTAGTCTCTGTTGAACCTAATGTATTCCAACACTTGAGGATAAAACACCCCCCCACACACACATACACACAGAGACAGAATAATTTATTTTTTTATTGTGAAGTTAAGTAACTTCATGGAAAGAGAATCTAATCAACATTGAACTATTTACTTGTCTCCACAGTAATTTTCTCTTTGTCAATTGACAGACATGGATTTTCATTTACTTATAATTAGTGTGAGCATACTAATTTTTGTTTAAGAAAGGTTTTCTTTACCTTGGCATTCTGATTTGTTTTCATAGATGGAAAAAAAAATCAGTGAGAAAGAGAAGGAATCATCCCTGGAGAGTTGGGAGGAATATGTGGGGTCCTACTCTCCCAGAGTTAAAGAAACCTTAAAGGACCCTGAACCCCTCCCCACATCTTTGATAACTGCCTTTTTAGACTGATAGTCACTGGAGCAGCTTTCCCAAGCGAGCAAGGACCTCTCCCAATTTCACTCCACAACACCCAGGGGGGACCCTCCATTACAAAGGAAAAATGAAATCCATCCTTTAGGTGTGCTAGGGTCCACTTGTCTGCCATGGGCCTATACCTTTGCCCCTTGCTTTACTGTGTTGTTTGGTTATTTCACTGGTTTCCCACACAGGAAGGAAGTGGAAATGATGCCCCTCTGGGACAGTCCTCCATATCATTCCCTCTAATGTCTTTTTTTTCTTAAAGTGCAATTGCACACCAATAGTTTCTAATCTGTCAAAACATAAGTTAAGGAAGTAGTGAAGTTAGGTTTAATTAAAACCACAATTATTTGTACAGCTGTCCCTGGGTTCATGGCTTGTAAAAGAGTTTAGCTTCAGACCCTGCTGCCTAAGTCCTTTGGGAGTTTCACACAAAACCCTTTACGCTCCACCTGGGCAGTGCCTATCCCAGTTTCACCAGTCACGTCAGGAGCAGGCCTGGAGGGCTTCGCCCTGATGCCACTTCCATGGTCAGGCTCTCCAAGCACCTGTTGCCTGGGGCAAGGCGGAGAACTGCAGAACTTTGAGACACAGTCATTTCCTTTTGTTTGGGGGGCCTAGAGGCCTTCAAGGATACTTCAAGAAATTCCTGAAAATTCTCCTAGGGCTGTGAGAAAGGGAGAGAGAAGAATCAGGCAGTCTTCCTTTGTGAGCTTTTCTCTGGTTCTTTACACTTTCACTCCCAGGAGGATCTTTTATGTTCCTCCCACCCCCAGCCCCAGAGCGTTAATGGACATTGGCAAGCATCTTTCAAAGGAGATGGGGGTGGGGTAATGCTGCAGATATGTATGCACATAGCGGCATGTTTTCTCAGCAGGACCCCAGAGAGGAGGATGAATTAGAGCTCAGCATCTGGCTGATTTTCAAGTGCCCGTGCAGCAGCGCTTCGAGCAGCCTGGATCTGAACAAGGCGATTTGGATTTTAAGCAAATGCACTGGCCAGCGCGGATCACTGACCGCGGGCCAGGGGCGGGGCCAGCGCCACAAGTCGAGAGGCCTGGAAGCCTGGGAGCCGCGGGTTAGGAAATGTGACCCCGGCGACCTCAAACACCCACCTCCTCCCTCGCTCGCTGCCCCACCTGCCCGCGGAGCGCACAGAGCCAGCCGAGGAGACGATGGCCAGCCCCGCGCCCTTAGTGGCCTCCATCAGCCACCAAATGTTGGCTTTGCAGACCCTGCAGCTCCTGCAGCAGGAGTGGGGCTGTGGGGACGGACCGGGCGCCCGTGGAAATTCGCGCGACCCGGACCACGTGTCCGCCACTCCAGCG